CTGAGTGTACTATGCGCATTTGATTAGGTCTGAACTTACCGCTCGCTGTGTATGCCGTTCTGTGATTCAGATTTAACGCCGGTCCCTGTTCCGAGCTTCACGGGATCATCGTACCTAGCCTACTCTCTAACCGGCTCAGCTCTGCGCAGCACGACAAACATTAAGTTTGACGTCCGCACCCTGTCCGACCATCAAACCGCCCTGCTTGCCTACACCAAGTGCCCGACGTGCTCCGACTTTGTGGCCGTGCATCTTCGCAACAACACGGTGGTGGTCACGTTCAACTTTGGCTTTGTTACCACTCAGGTGTCGAGCACGCAGAGGATACCCGCAAATCAGTTTGTGACAATTGACATCCGGCGATCGGGAAAACAGATCTCATTGGCGGTATGTCCTGGGAGATCATGATGAATAGTTCTTTTCGGTATATGTATGTGTGGTGCTAGCATGTCAGTGAATCCGTTGACACATTGCCATATTGCTTGCGCGAATTGCTCCAGTCTCTCCGGAGGCGTGGGTTCGAATCCCACCGCTGCCACCATTGTAACTCGTATACTCTCAGCACTCAAAGCACAATCATACTTGTAGTTACGTAAGTAGTTATCATTCGTTCATTGTCTCACAAGGAGAAGAAGAAGACAAGGCAGTGCGAGTATGCGCACTGCTATCCATGCATTCCTACGGTGTACTATTTATGTGTATACAATTTACGTGTCATAAAGTAGCCATGCTACACAGGTACAGTGAAACCTGTCTAAGATAACCGCTCAAGGGACCTTCAAAATCTGGTCTCTGTTACCAGGTGGTCTCCTTATCCAGGGTCATTTGACTAGAAATAGCATCCATTGGTCCTGGTTTCAGTGGTCTTTTAGGACAGGTGGTCGCCTTGACAGGTTTTAATGTATCTCATCAGGCGAGGAAAGTCTGTCATTCATGATTTTGTTTTCTCTTGAGTGACGCCCCTACGATCACTCCTGGCCGCAGTATGGGTGGACATAGATATAAGCAAACCTGTGTTGCATTGTGCTTGTCTTGTGCAGGTCTCCGGTCAGCTAACTGTCGCGTTCACACATACCGGTCCATTCAGCTCGTTGGACCACTCAGCGTTCCTTCACATCGGCGGCGGGCCAGCCTCCATCCTGGCGGAAGCCTCGCAGCGCCAGTTGGCAATGACTGGACTTATTGGATGCTTCAAAAACTTCCAGGTGAGAGATGGAATGCCGATAAGAATGCCAATAAGAGCTGGCTTTTAGCTGCACTGTGTGATCTGCCAAAATGCACAGTATTGGTAGTGTTGATCAGCATTCCATGTGTTCCCTTTTCATGCTTGACTTGCCATCTGCAACATGTGTGATGTGCCACATCGGGCATGTACTTGGCAAACAAATATAGTGCGGCATTTCTGTGACTGACCAGAGAATACGTTTGCTTTGCGGTGCCCATGCAGGTGAATGGCGAGACGTTGCCACTGAGCTCGGGCTGGGGAGTTGACAAGTGCTTCCCGTGCCTGGCCTCCACACCGTGCATGGTAAGAAGATGCTTACGCCTAGAGTGTTCTGGTTTGGCCGCCGTTTGGGTATCTATTTTGTACACACAAGGTGGATTCTGAAGATAGGCATGCAGCACTTATGTGAAGCAATGACTCGGAGACCTATGGTTGGACGAGCCGGTCGAATCTCACCACCTCTGCCATTGTGCCACCCTCATTATACATACATGTATACGTATGAAGGTGTGTGCATACTGATAAGCATCATTTTATGCATGCAGTGTAGTGTTGTTCCTTTGCAGCATGCTGTTATGATGTTGCATTGTGTCTTTATGTACATTGAACTTGTACGTGTACGTGTACGTGGCAACGAACTGGGTGTCTTGAACTATTTTTCAATAGCTACGTCCCCAGGAGTTCCATTGCCAGGCGTACACACCTTCAGCAATCGTTTTTTCTGTCGTGCTTCTTGTTGCGTCCATGTAGAACAACGGTGCGTGTACGTCTCTGAGTCGCACGGCATTCTCGTGTGCCTGCACGGCGGCCTACACTGGGCCCACGTGCCAAGTAAGTCATATCAGTAGTCGTAGTGAGCAGGCTGTTGATGGTGCGTGGAATTATACAGGACCGGCGGAAGCAGTGTTTGATTGGTCCGGTCGTGTCATGGTCTTGGTGTATGACAGGGGAGGGGGGGGGGGGACACATGATAGCAGTAAACATGCAGAGACGGCAGAACTGGTTGGTCCGGCCATGGCCTGACCAACCAGTTCTGCCGTCCCTGGCGCAGCTATGCATTGAAGGTCTCAATCAAGCGTTTTCCCGTTGCTTTGTCTCTCATGTGCCTGTGTGCTGACAGACTGCAATCACAGCATGCGATTCAAACCCATGCCCATCCGGCAGTACATGCACAGCATCGGACTTGTCTTCGTTCATCTGCCAGTGTCCGTTGGGAAGAGCGGGCACCTTATGCGAAACAGGTATGAAGAACCCTTTTTAACTGTCTAGTTGTGGAAGGGTTGAAATTCATCCACAGCACCTCCCCTCCCCCAGGAAAACACATTGGGCCAGTTAAGAACACCATAGCTTAGTGGTTACAGCATCGCTGGCCTCAGGCGAAGGTTCCTGGTTCAAGTCCTGGTGGGGACAGTTATTTTTTTCTTCAGACTTTGCCCTTCTCCATTCCTTCAACTAGTGAATATTTGACCAGTTTAGAGCTTGGATAAAACCTAGCTATTGGCATTCGATAATTCTATAGTATTTTTTCACATCCTGTGTTTGTATCCTGTGCAGTTGTGGCTACAGTGGATAGGCCAAGCTTCCATCCCATGCTCAGCTCCTACCTTGAGCACAGCAACCTGAGAAGCTCCGTGCTGACGCTGACCAATGTCACCATCCGTTTCAGGTCAGAATCCCATCCTTGAAATGAGAGTGCAGGCAATAATGTGCTGCATGTAATCCATTCAAACTCCTGGCACCTGTGCCCAATGCTGTGGTCTTGTGAAATAGCCTATGATAAGTCTGGTTGGCATGGAGAATAGTTTAGACTGATGGCAAATTCATCAGTCTGGTTTGGCTGCAGACATTTTGACTCAATGATTACGAGATGCTGTTCTGGCGTGAGCCTCATCGGAATGCACTAGGATGATCTGGTTGCGTCGTATGACAGCATTTCTGGGATCCTCTCGGCCCAAGCTCACCATGGCATGCCGCTGTGCCCCCTACTAGCTACCGAGGTGGTCATGTACTCTACGTGTCTCAATGTGCTTTGCTCATGTTCATGTTCTGTATGTATGTCCACCTGATATACTTATGTATGTCAACATGCAACAAGTAAGCTATAAGTAGGGTGGAGCAGATTTATATTGCTACTCAGAGTTTTCTCAGAGTTTTAAGACATGCAATACGTATGTCCACGTGTAATACGTATGTCCACGTGCAATACGTATGTCCACGTGCAATACATTTGTCCACGTGCAGGCCGGTCGGAGCCAGTGTGACCGGCATACTGCTCTACATGGCACAGTACGCGACGAGCGTGGCCGGTGATTTCTTCATGGTGGCGCTGGATCAGTCTCAACTGCTGCTACGCTACAATCTCGGCGCTGGGGTCATCACGGTGCGTCACGGCACAACGCTGACAACTGAAACCTGGTACACCGCTCGAATCCTTCGCCAGGGCTTGGCAGGTATGCTTGGGAATGTGTGAAGATTTCTCCTTCTTTTGCACTCATAAGCAAAGCTATAATGAAAGCCAAGAAGAGTGGATGATAGAAATAATACAGACAAACTGAGGAAAGAAGGTTCATTGCACATTTGCTGGACATCTGGAGCACGGGTGTTATGTGGATCAACAGCCTAGATTTTTGATGGAAATTATTTAGCACCATTTGGCACAATCATTGAAGTCATCACACTTGTATGTGTGTTGTAAGCCGAATTCATTCTTCTCTATCTCACTTCCAGCCACACTGAGCATTGATGGAATATCCGGCAAGCCACAGGGCAGCGCTCAGGGCCTGACATCGCTCAATGTTCTCATCCCGACCTACGTTGGCGGAGCTCCAGCACCATCTACGGTTACTTACCTGGCTGGGATCAGCTCTTCGTTCTCCGGTTGCATACAGAGTGTACAGGTATGCACACTCAGTTGATCATTGTGAATTTGTGATGCTCTGCAATCGTGAAATAATGACTACTCTCCGTCAACCTTGGTACCGTGGCATGCCCAGACCTGTTACGTATCACAGCACACAATCTGGTCATACGTGTGCACCTGTTAATATATTTGGCAAGGTAGTAAGTTGTGCCTCATATACTACAATCATATCCTGTTCATCAGAGTTTCAATGAAAGTGCAAAACAGCCTGACAATACACACCAGTGTGTGCCTGACTGTATGGCGAGTTGGTTATGAAACATTCTGCTTTGATCGCTGTCTACGTTACACAGGTGAATGCATTCCCGTTGACCTACTCCACTGCATCTGCTGGCCGGGGCATAACCGAATGCCAAGTGCCTCCCTGCGAGCTATCGCCATGCCAGAATGGTGGCTCCTGTGCCAATGTCAACAGCACCCACCGCGTGTGCAGCTGTCTTCCGGGATTCCACGGACCGGATTGTATCGATGCCTGCACGTACAACGCTCACAACTGCTCAGCTGCCGGCATGTGCTGCACGCTGCCTGGCAACCTCGCCGTCTTCGAGTGTGTATGCCCTCCGACAAGATCTGGGCAGACTTGCAGCGCAGCTGGTAAGCAATTGCCTTTTCAAACACCATAGGTATTCGACAGTGTTATATGCAAGTAAACTGATGACAACGAGGACATTGTTGTGTCACAGTATGTCTATCACATTGAAGTAGGCACGGGTGCAGAGCCTTTTGAAATGTCAACGGGGTTAATTGAGTGCCGATAAACTGGATGTAACACAGACAGTCAGTCCTCGTGGACTGACTGTCTGTGTTTCTCAGAGTCACCGTCCACAAGAAACATGTGCATGTATAATGGACAGTCGTAACCCTGTGATCATTATAGTCATTTTCTCTGTGTTTCCCGGACTGGCTTTGCCCACTGCAGGGCCAGCATACACATCGTTGTCGTTCAACGGTGACGGATACGCCACATACGACCATGTGATTGTGTAAGTGCACTGCATACTGCAGACTTGTGTATGCATGTGCTGTACACTGTACAGTGGTTTCACTTGTTCACTACTAGAAACTGGTCATGTGGGTCTCTCAGAATGAGGGAGAGAGGGTTTCAAAAGAAATCTGGGGAAATGATTAAATTGAATAGTAGGCTTCTGCTCACTGCACGCTGTAGACGTATGTGAACAGGAGACTATGAACTGAAGAGTATGCACTAGAGACTGGAGACCTGTTTGCACTGTCCAGCAAGAGTAGATCATGTCAGGATTGCAGAGCATGTACTTGTGGTAGAAACTGATTTCAGTCCTGTCTAAGGTCTGAAATATTGTTCCGAGAGAGATATGCATGATGCGTCATGTATCATACTCCATCAAATCATCTCCGATGTGCAAAATTCCTAGAATGCACCAAGTTCCATTACCAGCATTTTTTTCATGAACGGCATTGATCAATTGGTATTTTTACTGTGCAATATGCCTGAGCAGTGCACTCTCTCCCTGCTGGTTTGCTCTTCCAGGACGTCTGTTGAAACACTAGTAACATTCACCGTGACGACGAGCAACAGCCACGGTTTGATCATGTACTTGCCTCCTGTGAGTAGTAACTTATTGACCCTGTCAGTGAATACAAAATCACTCAGCTAGTGACTATGCTATAGCCGCTAGCGAACCTGTGAGGTGACTGCTTTCCAGTGAAATCATGTCATGTGTTTCATCATGTGATATGTCACGTGGCGGAGGGTTTTACATCAGTAACCATTTAATATCATGAGCTGTTCCCATGCTGTTCCATCCTTAGTTAATGTCAACAGCTCTCATTCACTGGAACTGCAGGAAGAGTCTAATTGCTGCTGTTGCTTTGGTGTTTGACGTTTTCTCTTGCCAGCCACCCCAACAGAGAGACTACTACCATGTGGGTGTCTTCAATGGCTTTGTCGAGTTCCGGTAAGGGGGACTAGAATGTGCAGAAACAGGTTGCTAGATTGTATCCGGTTACTGGTCCTTACCCTAGACTTGTTTTGCAGCATGAGCAAGTACGGTGCTGCACTGATCCAAGGGTTGCGGGTTGATTGCAAGAATTGGGAGACTCCAAGAGTCTCAACAGAACGTTCTCTCTCTCTCTCTCTCTCTCTCTTTACTATGCACTTTTGGGTAGAAGATAACCTCTGAGCTGCAGTGTAATTGCTGCTGGTAGCAGTGGTGTGCATATACACACTGAGCCCGTGAGGTCATATTGTGCAACTGACTGTTCCCAGTGTAACATAGTTGATGGGCTATCCTATGAGATCATACTTTTAAAATTCAGCTGGGTAGGAACCTACCCTGTAAGATGAAAATTCATGTTTTAATGAGTGCTGGATCCGTTACCTAACTTGGCAGAAGGAACACACATGTGAAGAGTGTATTATGGTTCTGTGCTCACGGTTATGCTGGCAGGTTTGATCTTGGTGCGGGAGAGACGATGGTGACATCATCCACACGGGTTGATGATGGCCTCCCACATATCATCAGAATCTCCAGGTGAGATGAACGTTCTTAGCACCTCAATTACATATGATTTGGCGATGATGTGACCATTGTTGTCTTTGTCTCTTCATCCGTTTGGTCTGACCGACCGTCCGTTTGTCCACCTGTCTGTCTGTGTTATTCTATATGGCTGTTTCTCTAGGTGTGTGTCTGTGTGTCCATCTTTGATTCCCTCTCCTTCTCCTTCTCCTTCCATCTACCTGCCTAAGTTGTCTAGCTTCACATTCAGCTATGGATACCACATGTAGCTTCCTATCAGCTTTACCACACACTCACTCCTAGACTTGCAGTGTGTATGTACATGTGGGCAAAGATACTAGATGTACACAACCTCCGGAAACAAAACTTGGTGACTTTTTGTATCCACACTCTCAGGTGTTGGTAAGATCAAGAAATTAGGTTCATAGGAACAAAAACAGTTCGAATCACAGAGTTTGTGTCTGGCAAAAGTATACAATCTCCAGACAGCTAGTTTTCAACCTTGTTTATGTCTCATCAGTGGAGCTCGGAGTGGCTGGACGAGCTGATTTAAATTACGTCTAGTGAACAAGAATGCATTTGTAAATCGGCTCAAATCATCCACGCCAGAATGCCTCAGGTGGCTGATCAAAGTGATCATGTGGCAATGAGATCAACAAAATTCATGGTTCACGTAAGGCCCAGTCGGACTGAGTTTCCACATCCGTAGGAACACCGCCACCCTTGAAGATCAAGGCCAAGACAGTGTAACAATGTGTTCTGTTTGCTGTGTGTCTGTGTCGTGACTGTAGGATCGGCCGCACTGCCAGCTTAGCAGTGGACAGCAATCCAGCTGTGGTGAGAGTAGCCTCCAGCAGCAGCACAGGATTGAACAACCCAAACAGCGTCTACATCGGTGGAATAGATGCAGGGTGCGAGCGCTACACTGCCGGCATGTCGATATCACCGTACTCTAGCCTTCTTGCTGGCCGATTCAGGAATGGTTTCGTCGGCTGCTTGAACACTATCAGCGTGAGCAATGTGGCTCTGCCACTGAGTGCGGCAAGATCAGGTGCAAGAGTCCAGAATGGGCAATGTGGTGCTGTTGTTACACCATAGCGGCAAACAATATGAAAGCAGACATTAGTATACAATTTACACACTATGATATTCAGTGTGAATACTGCCATTGGACACTTTGTACAATATGTTAAAAATTCGTGCCAGGAATACATTCCTCGGCATTCACCATATCAAAGCAGAGTGCATTCTTTGACCAATGTTGTTCGGTCTCGTTTAGGACTGGAAGTGATCCTGTGCCGAAATTCCTCACCTGTACAGCCATCTTGAGTGTATTGACAACGATTGCGCAGTTTTTGACTTTTTGTAGAAATCGTTCTGCTACTGTTATGCATCATGGCAATTCATGCTTTACACATCATGCATGCACTACGATGATGGTCTCTGTGAGCTGTTCGGAGACCTGTTTACATGTTGAAGACTCGAACACCAGCAGCTGTTATGCCCGAGATAAACTAGAGTTGACGCAAGGCTCAGTGATGCATCCTTTATTCTCTTTCAAAACCGTTTGTGCTTCATCCCCCCCCCCCCCCCTCCCTCACTAGTTGTTTTCACCACACCACTAAATTTGATTTCCACTGGTACAACTAGATCCTACTCGATAGTCTGACCTACCAGTGCTATACTCGTAGTAGGCCCGGTTTTTTTAAGCGTGTCCCTTTGTTCTAGGTGGTTGAGTCTGCAGTTCATCAAATTTTATTCTACATGCTACATGTATGAGGATCAGTATCTGAAGCATTCTTGTGTGATAATTGTGGCTTTTTGGGCCTGGCGTAACTGCACTGTGTGTGTACGAGTATGAAGACTGGCATTGTTATGCCATGATTGACTTACAGCAATCCTATCGTGGTCCAACACGCGGATGTACAGTATTCCCCCGATGCCGAGAGACGTGCTCACACCCCAGTATGGCAACTTCATCTTGGTTTAGCCCCCAAGACGAAGTGAATACTGCAGTAGGGCTCAAACGGTCACGGTTTTACCCCTGACGGTTAACTGCTAAGCTAACGGTCGGTTAACCGGTTATAACCTATAAGCCACGGCAATCCTGCGGACTCTTTTTTAACCGTATATTTGACTATACTCATTCAAAAAATGTACCCTATTCAGTACAACGCACACTTGTACATTCCCTTGCATGCTCATTCATACATACTCTCACACCAAGAGACCAGATATGACCGAGTTGACAGCCCAGAAATTGCGTACGCGTGCGACAGCCCGCGAAAGTGCACACTTTGCAACGACCTGATACTTGAAAAATTGACTGAAAAGTTACTGCGTAACCGTTATCTTTATCGGTTAACCGTTTTAAAATTCTTCGTAACCGGTCTGCAACCGGTTAATCGGACTAATCGTTTGAGCCCTAGTAGTCATATTGGCCCAAGTACAGATAGGTACCGAGAATTGCCATCTAACTACATTATACATAATTGTACCGACAAGGAAGTGATACATACTCGCCATGCCATGTCGACGATGTCATGCACACAGCCGACAGTCCTGGGTAGCTATTATCAATAGTATTTTGCTGAATATGCCCACCACAAACATACCGGTAATCCTGAGTACCGACTGATCTACTATGGCCTCAGTGGAGAGTATCGGTGCTTATCATCTTATGTGTACGTGCATTCCGCACAAACCGTGAAAAAAATTTCTTTGGCAATCTGGTGTGTTGGACACTGCACTGACTGTCACTGATTTGACAGGCTGATGCAAGCGTAAATAACTAAATATGTCACATTTGAAAAGTTGAACTGAAGCAACCCTATCACAACCCTTGGTAAATCAGCCACTTGAACCGGAAAATACGAAGCGACTCCAGAATCGATCCATTGAATACTTATTACTTGATGGCTCAAATTCAGAGCTAGATCTCGAGGCATTCCCGTCAACAACGCTGATCGATGTACAAGTCAATCTTGGCGGGGCGTTCAGGAGTTCGATCAATGGTCACCGTGGCGGAAAGCAGCGAACTGCACTTGAGCACTAGTATTGCCTGTCGGCTAACGATCCAGTGTCCGCTAACGATCCAGTGTCCGCTAGCGATCCAGTGTCCGCTAACGATCCAGTAGTGCAGTGTGAGCGGTAATCATGGTACTGTGACTCGAGTGTGAGCATCAGTGTGTGAAGAAGACCTCTCAGAAGGTAGGTAGGCCTAGTACGTATCGATTGTGACCATAATAGACTATGATAGAGGCAGCAGGTATTGCCTACTAATTGGAGGCCTCTTGTTTCAATGAGGTTGAAATGTTGAGGGCGATGCCCAACCTTCTCCCCATCCTCAGAACATGTGTATCAGTAATTTCAGCAATGATTGCCGGTTAGACATACTGTCACACAATATGTCCATAAGGCATGCAGCAAGCCGCAGTAACACAAAAAAACACCGTGTAAATTGTGTTGCTTGTCCAGTTGTTTATGCATGATACTATACGGCACTTGTTGAGCAATGCGAATATCCAGACCTCTTTGCTTGGATATATTATGGGCCCAGTGTTGGTCAGCGACATGTACCGGCATTCCGCTGCAGGTGGGGGTAATCAGAGTCCACGTTTGTAGCATTCTTCATCAGTTCTGTTGCATGCAATCCCATCCATATAAGAAGAAGAACATCTCGCATGCTACTCAGGATTGAGCTCTACGCATCTGTGAGTGAAAAAGATCCATTCGTGTCTCTTTTCGGCGAACACAAAGGCTTCAGGGACAGTGATGTTGGCTTTCTTCAGGTCTTGCTTTATAATGTCGGTCCATCTGATTGGTGGACGTCCGCCTGGCCTTTTAATATCCAATCCATATGCCATTTAATTCACACGAGAGAGAGAGAGAGAGAGAGAGAGAGAGAGAGAGAGAGAGAGAGAGAGAGAGGACGCATTGAATTTCATTGTATTTGCCCGTCTCTACATACGACAAGAAGAAGAGGATGGAGATTGACCTGACAACAAAATACCTCCTTACGTTTCATTGGTTCTAGTTACTTGTATTTCACTTTGACTTGCTGATGAGAACAGGATCGGCGAAAGCAGTTTCTGATTGGTCCGGCCATACGCTAGCCTTTCATACTTTGTGTATGATATGGCGGGTACACGCATGACCAAACCAGCAGTAAACGTGCATTGGTGGCCAAAAGGTTGGTCCTGCCATGGCCTGACCAACCGGACCGGTTCCGCTGGGCCTGGAGAATGCACGAAAAATAGTCTGTGAAATTTAATCCCTGAGAATGCTCGAAAACTGGTTTTGAGTCCTTGAGTCCTGATAACGGTGGTAAGGAATTTTAGAGATTTTACTTCTTCTTGACGTGCTAAGCTCCCTGTCTCCTGTAGTAAGTATTTGTTCATTGTTTGTCTCATCATACAGTACTAACAACCTGTGTTTATCCCTTGGCATATCGGCTAACATTGAATACTTTGTGCTCCTAGGCTATAAGATACTGTAAAGCCATCAGTCATTTTCACATTCTCCAGTTCATTTTATTTTGTTCAGTACTTCGTGCGTGGTGTATCTAAGCCTAACCAGTATCATGTGACGTGCGTTTATTGCGCAGTTCTTGTGTTCTATGACTAATTCAGGTTGCATGGTGTATGATTTGTTTTCATTACATTTTCGAGCATTGCATTCATTATGTTATTTTACCGTACAAGAGGCTTTTATGAGAATGATGAGACTGACTATGGCAGGAGGATGAAGCAAAGGACTCCGTGCCAATCGTGCGAAGCAAGAGTGGACGCTGCTGATCACCTCTATGATGATATTGAGTGTTTCACTGGGTTCATGTAGGGCATGTAGATCTCAATACCGGCATAACTATAATAGCAATGATTACTGTGTGTCTGGTCCTGCATACAGTGTCCAGTCGACTCTATGAGACTCGAGAGCGTAACTCACGGACTTACTCCCATCATAAGTAATTAGTTATCTTTGCCGTAAATTATAAGCGCAAGCTTGTCTAAGAACCCAGATGGAAATAATTGTGGACACAAGCTTGTGTCATAATTTTCGTGTAGATCCGCACACTGTCTGTGGCGGTACGATCACGTGCGCGCGATGTCTTGCCGCTGTTGCCCTGGGCAGTGGCAGTGCAGAGAGCCTGTCTCCGTGGTTTCCCGAAATCTTGGAGATCACACGTCGCACTCACACCTGCCTTGTTGATTGTTGGCACGACCTACCACAGACTCAGTCACCAGGTCACCAGTCAGTTCACGATCCAGGCTTAGGACCACGCGAGCGCCGATCGTAGAGACACGATCAGAACCACTCGTTTTCTTTGTTGATGCAGCCTTGTGCCGCATGAAAATCCCATCTGTTTACTAGGAAATGGGACCATTTGATCGAAAACGCTGAAGAGGAGGGAGTTTGGCTTGCGAAGCGGTTGTTGAACAGCGAACCGAAAGAAACAGTTCCGTCCATCGCCGATAGGCGCTACCGTGACCAGGTGGTTGGGATTATGTCACTATCTAAACACCTCTCGGACTTCGCTGAAAGCTGAGGAATATTGTGGGCAACGGGAACGGTTCTGAATGGAGGGCGGTGACGCTCAAACTCCGGCCATTGATGCCGAGTCGGCAAAGGCAAGTGCCTTGACCAAGAGTCAAATTTCTATAGCTGCCGATCAATCGCCTGGTCCGGCGTCGACATCTCCAGCAACTACTCTACAAGGTACCTCGGCCACGAACGCCTCTGGACTGGACAGTGCAGACGCGAGTGAGGAGAAAGCAGTGGGCAAAGAGATCGCGAGTGCTGATGCACCCAATGCCGATGTGTCGGACAGTGTGGCGGTCACGAATGTAGCACACAGCGATGAGCAGCCGAAGAATGCAGAGGAGAGCGCCACAGCAGATCCGGGTAGCGGCACTCACACTCAGACCGAGTCAAAGGACGACGCACCTACCAGCACTGACGCGCAAGAAAATAGCCTTGGATCTGAACAAAGCCAATCTACCCCTGAGGCAGTTCAAAGTGAAGGGAATGATCCGATTTCAGGAGATGGTGTCGCTGGAGACTCCAGCGATCAGAAGGCTGACACTGTGACTACAAAAGAAGACACAACAGATGAAAAGGTAGATGCAAATGCTGTGGAAACAGCCACCATTGAGCAAAGCCTGCCTGATGGAGACGCCATACCTGACGAGGCAACACTAGCACAAGAAATCACAGCACCTACTCAAGATGATGGCACAACTGGAGGAGAGGCCGCAGCTCCCAAAGAAAGTCCAGATGCCCACGCAGACAGCGAGCTGACAGATGAAACTGCAGTGGGCTCATCTGATCACACAGCAAGCAAACAAGAGCCAGAATCAGAGACCTCACACGATTCTAGCCAACCTGGCCAGCAAGGAAAAGAGGACACAAACACTGCTTCACCGGTTGTGGAAACACCAAGCGAGAAAGCGAAGGGCGGGTCGTCTTCCAATGCTGACGGCGATGCACCCAATGGTACTGAAGGCGAAGTGACCACTGACAGTGCCGTGCCACAGGAATCAGTTCCCACAACAGGCACTGACACAGCAACAACCGAAACCAGCACACCAGCTGATGACCATTCTGCTACTGGTCCAGAGGACAAAGACGGGACAAAGCCAGGAGCAGATGCAGGTGACAACGATGAGCCTAAATCAGCAACTGATCATCAGAATTCGGAAGCCATTGATGGTGGTGGTGATCATGCAGACATGTCTGCAGGTGGTGCAGCACAAGAGACAGTGGAGAACTCAGGAGACACTAGCGAACAGCCGGTCGCAACTGCGGAAAGTAATCAAGATGCTGAGACGACGCAATCCACAACCGCAGCATTTGCTATTTCAAGCTCAGAAGCATCCACTACTGTAGCGGAAGCTGATGAGAATGAAGCAACTCATGACACTCCTGTAGCCAACTCTGTAGAAGAAGACAAGAGCAAAGCACTCCAGCAATCTAATGCCCAGGGTACAGAGGCAACCAGCGAAAAAGACGATGAGGTCATAGCAGATACAGAGAATGCTGCTGACGGTGACAATGCTGTTGATAGCAATCCACCAGCTGATTCACCGCATGCAGAAACGGTGGAGGAGGAATCCCGTGCTGGGCCAGAGGAGAGGCAGGATGCAGTCACAGTCAGCGGCTCAGAATCTGCTCAGGCCGATGCCACAGATGGAACTAAGCGTGTGCAAACAGAGCAACTCGATGCGGCTGACAAATCAACCATAACACCTGAAGAAACAGCAGCTGGTGATTTGACTCAGGACCCTGCCCTGGAGACCGAAGTTGCCTCTGACCCAAGTGCCGAGGCTCCTCACGACCCAGCTACAACTGCCACTGTGGTGTCCATGCCTTCGGTAGAATCTGACTCCAAAGCTGCATGTGCCGCTGATGAAGACCACACACATTCAGCTGATGCCACTACTGCAAGAGTGTCTGATGATACAACGGAAGCTAAACCTGACACAGACAATACTGGTGCCCAAGCCACTGAAGACCAAGCAGAATCAGATCTCCCCGGAGACCCTGAAGCTAATTCAGCCACTAGCGTTGCATGCGATGCTGCAGTGCCGACAACAGAAGAGATGACCGACAAGGCAAATGCTGACAATGGCGGTGGTGGGGATGACAGTGCGAATACGGCCAACAAAGACGCAGCGATGGAAGAGAAGGAAGCCGTCGTGCATGCTGATGAGAATGCCGATTCTGCACAGCCAGACAATGACACTGCGCCAGGAAAGGATGATGAGGCAACGAAAACCAACGTCGCGGAGACTGTGGCAGAAGAAACCATTGCGCCGGAGCCAGGTACAGCTGAGACAGCACAAGATGAGACACAAATAGACAGTGCGAAGGGGACTTCAGAAGCAACAGAGTCTGAAGCAGGCACGCACCATGCCGAGAAGACTGAAGATACTAGTCCCGAAGCTGGCCAGGCTATCGACCAAGCTGTCAGCACAGCCGCACCAGAGGAAAGTGAAAACACAGGGACCGTCACGCCTGAAGGCAAATCAAATGATACGGACAGTATCCCAGCAGAAGACGGTCTAGAAGGCGTTGAAACTGACTCCGAAATTGCTGCAGCACAGACCACAAGCACTGCACGGGATGCAGAATCATCCACTCGCCCAGATGGAAGTGTTGGTGACCATCCTTCAGACAGTAGTATGAATGCTGACGAGGACTACAAAGCTTCAGAGGCCACAAAACCAACAGCACCAGAAACTCCTGAGGCAACAGCGTCAGAGACTTCTGAGCCAACGGTATCAGAGGCTGACAAACCAACGGCATCTAAAACTGGTGAACCGACAGTGACAGGTGCTGCTGAGCCAACAGCATCGGAGACCACCGAGCCAGCAGCACCAGAGACCACCGAACCAACAGCGTCAGAGACTGCCGACCCAACAGCATCGGAGACTGTTGAACCAATAGCATCCGAGACTGCCAAGACAGCAGCATCTGAGACTGCCGAGACAGCAGCATCCGAGACTGCCGAGACAGCAGCGTCAGAGGCTACTGAACTAACAGCTTCAGAGGCCGTAGAACCATCAGCATCAGATGCTGCTACACCAACAACATCAGAGACTGCAGAGCCCACAGTCTCAGAGGCTGCTAAGCCAACAGAATTAGAGGCTGCAGAACCAACAGCATCAAAGACTGCTGAACCAACAACATCAGAGGCCTCCAAACTAACGGCTTCAGAGGCCGCTGAACCATCTGCATCAGATGCCGCCAAACCAACAACATCAGAGACTGTCAAGCCAACAGCTTCAGAGGCTGCTAAGCCAACAGTGTCAGATACTGCCGAACCCACAGTTTCAGAGGCGGCTGAGCCAATAGCTTCAGAGGCAGCTGAGCCAGCAGTATCAGAGGAAGCCGAGCCAGCAGTATCAGAGGAAGCCGAGCCAGCAGTATCAGAGGCTGCCGAACCAACGGTATCAGAAGCAGCTGAGCCAGCAGTATCAGAGGCTGCCGAACCCACGGCATCAGAGACTGCTGAATCCACAGCATCAGAGGCTCCCGAGCCAAGAGTATCAGAAACTGCCGAGTCAACAGTATCAGAGGAAGCCGAGCCAACAGTATCAGAGACTGCTGAATCAACAACATCAGAGGCTGCCGAACCAATAGCACCGGAAACTGCTGAACCAACAGTATCAGAGACTGCCGAGCCAACAACATCAAAGGCTGCTGAGCCAACAGCATCGGAGGTTGCCAAGCCTGACGCAGAAGTTGTAAGTGGAAGCCAAGCTGATGAACAAGATGGTGGTGCAAAGGAGACTAAAGAGTCGGACACTGTCATTGCAGCAGTTGACAGCGCCACAGCTTCTGTTGAGCCTGAGAGTGAACTCACAAACTCAACTAAAGCTGCATCGAACAGCACAAGCCCTGCAGAGACCACCTCAAGTTCAAATCTGCCAACAACAAGTGAAGAGCTGCCTGCAGGTGATCTTACAGATCAACCACCTGCTGAAGAAAAGCCTAAGCAGCCAGCTGAGAAAATACCTGGCACACCTCCGGATGCTTCAGTGACCGATGGAACACCATCGCCTGGAGAAACTGATTCTTCATCTATGCCACCCAGTGCTTCTACAGAAGCTAAAATGGTAGAGGAATCTCATGCAGATAATCCTACGGGCAATGAAGTTAATGATACCGAGGCAAGTTTAGCCTCCGATGAAGCTACCATCACCAAAGAGTCTTCTGAAGCAGCTGTTGTTAGCGAGGAATCTCAACAGGCTGTATCACCTACATCCGATGAAACACAATCACCAGAAGCAGCCAATGATTCTGAAATACAGCCTGTGCATATAGACACTCAGGGTGAACAAACAGACCACACAGCTGAGAGTGATCCAAGCCAGGATGCCACAGACAGCAGTGCGGAGAAATCATTAGATGACCAATCGGCTGAACCAGCTTCCATCCCAGAAGCTGACAAACACGCAGAAGTTGAAGCACCAACTGAAGGTGAACCGAAAACTGAAACTGGCCCAATAACTGAGGCGGAACCAGCTGCCAAATGTGACCTTCCGACGGAAGCTGACACATCAGCCGAGGCCGAATCAGCAAACGAGGCTGACCCGCCTGCCGAAGTGGAACCAGCCATCAGCGCTGATGCACCACCCGAAGCTGATCCACCAACCACAGCTGACCCATCAGCCAAAGCGGAACAAGCAACTGAAGCAGAAGTAGTCACTGAAGCTGGCCCACCAAGTGACACGGAACCAACAACCAATGCTGACTTGCCAACAACCAATGCTGACTCACCAGCTGAAGCTGACGCATCAACTGGAGTGGAGCCAGTGAACAAAGCTGCCGCACCATCTCAAGTAGACTCCTCAACGGAATCTGCTGACCTACATACTGAAGCAGAACAAGCAGTTGGTGCTGAGCCACAAGCCGAAATGAAATCAGCAGTCGAAGCTGATCCTCCTACAGAAGCCAACCCACCAGCCGCTGATGGCTCGGCAGCCATTCAAGCTGATTTGTCACCTGACGTTGACACACCAGCTGAAGACCAAGCCACCGCAGTACAGCAGATCGAACCAACAGCTACTGACCAGCTCCACACTTCTCAAGACATTGCCAATACAACCGATGGTGCTGCAGAAGAAGGACAGTGCAGGGAAGCTGTAGACGGCTCTACCGTCAGTGAGCAACAGGGTGAGGTCATAGCAGATGATACTGAGCATACAAAGGATGATAGCCAGCCCACACCAACACCATTGGATGAAGTGTCAACCCAGGTGGAAACAACTGGTGCTATATCTGAGCCAGTGGATCCCAAAGCAGAACCAAGCGATGGAAGCCAGTCCGAATCAACACCATTGGATGAAGGATCAACCCAGGTGGAAACAACTGGTGCTATGTCTGAGCCTGCTGATCCCAAAGCAGAACCAAGTGATGGAAGCCAGTCCGAATCAACACCATTGGATGAAGGATCAACCCAGGCGGAAACAACTGGTGCTATATCTGAGCCTGCTGATCCCAAAGCAGAGCCAACTGATGTAGCAACAGTGGCAGCTACAGAAGCAGGTGATGCAGCAGATGGAACGAAAGCTGAGGGAACAGAGACAGGGGATACTGAGACAAAGGCACCTGCAGCAGCTACAGCAGCAAATGCAGAGATGGTAGAGGGAGAGGCATGTGCATTGGATGTAGTCACTACCTGTACTGCTACAAATGATGATGTTCGAGAGGCAGACGCTGAACCCTCAGTGCAGAAAGACACGACAGATGAGTCTCCTGTTGCATCCGGGGCGGGCACAGATCCCACAGAACCAACATCCACTCAATCAACAGTAGTGTCAGACCAAGATCCTCCTCCTCGAGCAGAGCAAGTTGCTGATGAGCATGAGGACACTGCGGAAGCACCCGAGGAGCAGATATCTGAAAGTTCTGTTGCAGACAGCAGTGAGCAGAAAGACACGGCAGTAGAACCGACAGCAGATGATGGACAGCCTGCACCGAGTGTACACACAGCAGAAGAAAGTGAACTGGTGGGTGCTGCTGCTGGTGTGGAAGAGAGCACAGAGGCAGTACATGCAGGTGTACTGGATGCTGCTGACTCTGGAAAGAACTCTGAGCCAATCAGTGATGTCACAGAGACCCAACAAGTCGAAGACAAAGAACCCGCTCAACTGGCTGAAGCATCAGAGAATGAGAACGAAGCTGACGGTGCTACTCATGCGGTGCCATCTGCAGAGGATGTTTCCTCTACTACCAAGCCAGAACCCGACGGCGGATGTGCTGAAGCCGCTATGGAGCCAGCCGATGACCAAGCAACTGAGGATCCAGCCGAACCCGAAGGTCCTCAGTCTGATGATACAGTTGATACGGTATCTACTCCAGAGAAACCAGCAGGATCCCATGAACATGTCGAAACAGCTCTAGCAAATGCCACAGTAGCAACAGAACATGATGCTGCAGATGTGGATCCTATGCAAACTAGTGGTACTGATTCAGAAGCGTGTCCAGCACCCGCACAGGTTTCCAGCACAGGCGAGGCCAACGAGCACACTGAACAGCCATCCGTAGATGACCCAGAAGCGACTACGTCAGAGATAGCTCACTCTGATCACAAAGACTCTTCTGATGGTGAAGGGCATACCTCCGCAGCACCAGCTGAGCAGCCTGCAACTGATGAAGCAGCTGAGGATGATGGAGAAGCTAATATTGCAGCTGTGGACAATGACGCAGCTAATATTGCGGAAAATGATGCAGCTAATATTGCAGCTGCGGACAATGGAGAAGTTAAAATTGCAACTGCAGACGATGAAAAAGCTACTGTTGCAACTGCGGACGATGGAGAAGCTAATATTGCAGCTGCGGACAATGGAGAACCTATCACTGATAGCGAAGCTGTGAAACCGAGTGGTGACACTACGGATTCAGGTCCTGAACTACAAGACACCAGCATTGGCACAGGTGCTGAAGGGGAAGTTGTGAACCCTGGAGAAGAACCGCGCACAACAGAAGAGCTCTCCTCGCTGAGTATGTCTACAAAACCAGCCGAAGTAAGTGTTGATGCAGCAGACATCACTGCTCAGGATGATGGATCCAAAGACACGCCTGATCCAGCACAGGATCCAGCGCCTCAGAGTAGTGAAGATGAGACCAAACTACCCGTAAGCGATGACTCGACATCAGCCAAGGAAGAACCTCCTGTTGGAGAAACAACAGACAAGATCTCGCAGGATGTGCACACTGACAGCCCACCGCAAGCTGAAGAACCCACTGGTACAGATCCAGTGGAACCAGATGTACCGAATGACAGTGACAGCGGAAGCAAGGCTGACAACCCCACAGAGGACACGGAGATCAGTAATGTTGCCGATACTGACAGAGAGGAACAACACCAGCCAGACAAGGCAGGTGCCGTGATGGCTGATGCTCTATCAACATCTGACACGGGCTCTGATGCTGCTGGGACCAAAAATGCCAGCGCGAATACACCTGAAGCTGTACGACGGAGGCCATCAGAAGAAGAGAAAAGTGAAGGTGATGACAATGATGCAGGGAAGGTGCCGCGTGACATGCCAACCAATGGCGCTGCTCATGGAGACAACCGGAGTGTTCAGAGCGAACCGCATTATTCATCAGCTTTTGAAGAAGACGAGGAAGACCAAGTCAAAGAAGACAAGCCCAGAGATGAGAGCTCTGCCTCCGTGCAAGGTGATGAGAGCTCTGCCTCCGTGCAAGGTGATGAGAGCTCTGCCTCCGTGCAAGGTGATGACGTGAAAGATGCTGACAGTGAAGAACACCAAGAGGAGGCAACCAAAGCATCAACAGAGGATGATGATGTTGCCATAGCATCAACAGAGGATGATGATGTCGCCATAGCATCAACAGAGGATGATGATGTTGCCATAGCATCAACAGAGGATGATGATGTTGCCATAGCAGCAACAGATGATGGTGAGGGTGCCATAGCATTAACAGATGAGGGTGAGGGTGCCATAGCATCGACAGATGATAATGATGTTGCCATAGCAGCAACAGATGATAATGAGGCTGCCAAAGCAGCAACAGAGGATGATGAGGCCGCCACAGCAGCAACAGAAGACGACGACAGCGAAGAACACCATGAGAAAGTTGCCATAACAGCAGCAGAGGATGATGCTTCAGCTTCCTCACAAGCCAGTGTTACCAATACTGCAAGTAAGACTACACTGTCTGATGCAGACTGTAGTGGTGATGTAAAGGATACACTAGGTGAGCATTCCTCGTCATCAAGCAAGGCTCAGCCTCTGTCCAGTCCCAGTGAAAAGAGCTGCGTAGAAGACAGTACTGCTGCTACACGAGATTCGGAGGCACCGGCTTCTTCTGCAGAGTCAGATGCCAGCAGCCATCGTGAAGAGCACTCGTTACACGGCTCAGCCACCTCCGTAAGTCGCAAGTCTTCGGCAGGCAGCCATCGTTCATCAGCATCATCCTCAGAGCACTCACGGCAAGCAAGCACAGATGGTCACAGCTACACAGAGATATCAGCCACGGCCAGTGAGGCTACGCTGACAGAAGCAGCAGCAGCTGGTGGTGAAGAAAGGCCTACCGACGTAACTGCACAACAGTCTCAGGAATCCACTGAGGAAGACCAGAAGCCAATGCAGGTGGCTGTTGATGCAGAGAAAGAGCAGCAGGGGACAGAGATAATGAGCAGTGAAGAAACAACTGAACCAGTGGCGGCTGCAGATGCTGCCGCAAGTGCATCCGATACATCTATTGACAGCAGCAGGGGAACGTCTGAAACAAAGATGATGAGGATGACGTCAACTGGTGAACAGATACAGCTGGAGCTAGAGCTGGACGATGATAGCACTGCAGATCGGAAACCAGATGATGATGATGACGGTGATGATCAATGTGTAAAGGAAGAGAGCGATGTAGACACACCCAAAGCACAGACAGAAAGCGAAGGCACTGAAGTGGAGAAGGATGAGGCGTCAGCTGCACATGATGATGATGCAGCTGATAACAGTGACGTTACAGCGGAGAACGATCTGCCGAATGAAGAGACCCCGTCTGACAGCCATGACAAGGATGCAACCAGCACAACACAAGAAACTGTCACCCAGACAGAGGATGATGGCACTGCAGTGGAGACTGACCATCAGACTTCTAGCACAGAGGACGACCAAGCATCGGACAAGTCATACGGCAGTTTTGAGGAGGATCCCCTCGCCCAGGATGAGCTCGATCAGAGTAAGGACGAGACAGAAATGGACGTCTCGGCAGATTCACCCAAACAAGACTCCAAAGATGAAGAGGAGGGTGAAACAGAAGCAGAGGTGGAAGGTACTGAAACCCCGACTGACGAAACTGCCCAAGACGATGAAGCTGGCAAGGTAGAGTCCAAAGCTGAAGATCAAACTACAGCGGATGATGATGATGATTATACAGAAGATGTGTCCGAGATCCCTGAGGCACAAGCTACCGTGGGAGATGAAGACACAACTACAGGGCAGTCAGAGTCAGACAAAGAACCTATTCTGGCTGAGGAGATGAAGGCTGTGGACGTGAAGGCTGTGGACGTGAAGGCTGTGGATGTGAAGACTGATGTGATGAAGGCTGGGGAGATGGAAGCTGTGGAGACAATGGCTGAGGAGATGAAGGTTGAGGAGATGAAAGCTGTGGAGACAGTGGCTGAGGAGATGAAGGCTGTGGACACAAAGGCTGTGGACGTGAAGGCTGAGGAGACCATGCAAAGAACAACGTCTGAGCATGAACAGCTACCAGAGAAGGCTAATGACAAGGAGACTGAAACAATGGCGCCAGAATCTACCTTGTCACCCCGTTCCAAGAGCAGATCAAAGAGCAGAGAGGAGGAGAAGGCTGAGGAAGAGGAAGAAAAGGCACTAATAGAAAGGCTCCGAGCATTGCACGACCCACCAGCCGAGGATGAAGTATCAGCAAACAGGAGACGACTGGAAGAGCGAGAGAAGAAACGCACCAAGGCATTGGAGCGGCAGCAACGAGATATAGCGCTGCAAACGCAGCAGAGAAAACAAGAAGAGAAGCTGCAGCAGCTCGCTTACGCAACAACACCTCGTAGGCGAGTTCTGCCTCCGACTCCTAAAGAAAAACCTGTGCAACCACCACCACCAGCTACCGGTTATAATGATCAACCGCCACCACCCGATCACCCAATTCCAACCGGTGTGTTTGTTCGCAGGAATCCGAGGAGAAAGAGCTCCATATCACACAAACCATACCTGGAGGCGATACTGCAGCGGGAAGTGGAAACTGAACTGGCGCAAGCTACAATGCAAGAACGAACACCAACAGATCAGACGGATGGCTGCGCGACTGCACCGGTGACAATCTCACCACCCAGCGCTGCTCGCCCGCAAGCGCTGTTCGTATCGCGACGGCCAAGAAGACAGCTACCAAGCACGCCAGTGCAGCCTGTGTCACCATCCCGGTCAAGACATGCTGCGTGTATGGCTCCACCCGATCTCACGGGAGGCTGGAGATCACCTGGAAAACACACCGATCCCATCCCTGTATGTGATATTTCCACTTTTCCACTTATGGAGATGCTAACTTTGAGTGCAGTAGTTAAATCCTGTAATTCCTTACTAAGACAGGCGATATATACTGCTGTGGACATTCAAATCTCATGGAATGACTGGGGTCGGTGTCCTTACTGCCTTAGCGCGTACTTGTACTGTACTGAAGTAGTTTGTATACACACTGCAAAAATGGATCTGCAGTGCTCGCGGCTGCAAAGCTAGTGCCCTGTGGCCGCTTAAGTTCTCAATGGATGGCAATGCCCACAACAGTAGTCGGTCGTTGGGCTGTGTGCTTCGCTAGCCCTGTCACACTGTGCGGGCACATGTGTGTGAATGTCCATGTGTGTACGTGTGTGTGTACGTGTGTATGTATGTGTGTATGTGTGTGTACGTGTGTGTGTTTTATGTTTGTACTCAGCTACCACCACTTGGAAGTCCTCCACCACACGCCAGAATGCGCCGAAGAAGAACAAAGAGTGCTGTTCCGCTGACCACTGTCAGCACTGCTACACCTAACAGCGGTGGTAAGCTGAATCATAAGCTGAATCATAGTATGTGTAAAGTTAAGCCTTTCAAGGCGACCACTCGGATAATGCGACCACCTGTCCCAGAAGACCACTGCAGCCAGGACCAAGGGATGCTATTTCCAGTCAAATGACCCTGGATAAGGAGACCACCTGGTAACAGAGACCACATTTTGAAAATCCCTTGAGCGTCCGTCGTAGACAGGCTTCACTGTACTGTAATTTCACAATTTTTTGGTTTACAGTCATGTTGTGATCTCGAACTCGTCAGTCACTGAACTGAATTTATTCCCGTAGCTATGCAGAAGACGTTACTTCAGTAACGTCTGGCGCTAGCCAGGGTCCACACAGCTTTAATTTGGTATTTGTGTGTTTGTTTGTTTGTTTGTGTCACGCCTGGCGCTATCCCGTATCTGTTCCGTACCGTACCGTACCGTACCATCAAACACAGCTGGCCACATACAGCTGGCCGCAATATTCAAATAGGGCTTTCAAACGCAAGATCATAACGTGAAGCAACTTACTTGGAAGAATGGGTATGAATGCGAAGTGTATGGGGGAATGCATGTAGGGCGATAGTGCGGGTTTGAATCCCAGGATATGCCTGAAAAAAAATAGGAGAATTGAAAAATGTATAACAACCCTATGCTTTTTTTGCCGTCATCAAGGCGGTAGACGGTGTCGTATTACCCTCGATCGTACCTGTCCCGTACCTATCCCGTACCATACCGTACCATCAAAGACGGCTGGCCACAATGCATATTCAAATAGGGCTTTCAAATGCAAGATCATAACGTGAAGCAACTTGGAAGAATTAGTATGTATGCGAAGTGTAGTGGGGATGCATGCAGGGCGCGCGATAGTGCGGGTTCGAATCCCAGGTTATGTCTTAAAAAAAAGGAATTTTTTTAAAGAATTTATAACATCCCTATGCTTTTTTTTGTCTAGGTCATCAAGGCAAAAAAGCATAGCGTAGGGCCCTGAGCTTCCAAGCTCTCTCGTTGTAAAGAAGACACGAACGTATAGAGTGTGAAGAAGAGTATAGCAAGATAGAGAACGGTGGAAGGAGAGCCGCTGGACAGCTGGAGAGTGTATCAATACGAGCACTAGGGGAAGGCTAGACAGTATGTCTAGACATCAATAGGTATTGTACGAAAGGCCAGTCAATAGTACTAAAGAGTGAAGTCAACCACAACACGACCTTGCTTATCCGGTCCTCTTTTATCCGGATCCCTCGCCATCTGGAAGAAAATCGTTGGTTACCGATTTTCAGCGTATGCCATGCATACATACAGTATGCGTGTCCGATTATCCGGTTCACTCGCCTATCCGGATATTTTTGTGGAGAGCGAATGTGTGCGGTTAAGCGAGGTCTGACTGCACCTATATTTTCGGTACTTTCGGTGCATCTCTGTCGTACCTAAAATTTCAATAGCCGCACAAACACAAACACGCATCATCCGAAACGGAATGGCTTCTCTGTACCTAAAATTTCTGTTCACCTTAGATGGTCTTTTGCCGCGTCTCATACCTAACTAGAATGCATGTTAAACCATGTCATTGGTTGCATTGGTAGTCCTGTCCATGCGTGCACGTAGGAGGACTTAGACCTGTGGGGTTCAGAGGAGCTGAAAAGACAAGTCGCACAGGAGAGCTGCAACAAAGTTCTCGCTTGCGACAACGCCAGTTTTTCCTCTCACGTCCCCACAACTTGGTGACAGCACCACACGATCTAGCTCATTAGAAGGTGTGTGTGTTTGATTCTTTAAAACACTCATACTGCAGTATGTGACATGAAATCAAGTGAAAGGTTCTGTGTGATTTGCAGCTTACATTCTGTTTTGGCCGTTAACCTGTCACCTCTGGTTTAGATGTTGCCACAGTACTTTAAGTGTGATGTGAACTGCTGAAATTTAGATTTTTGAAAAAAGGGTGCTGTGGAGAGAGCTGTGATGTTTGGTGAAAGGTTTGGCGCAGGATTTAGGTGTTGCCATCATATGTGTGCTGTGAACCGCTAAGACTTTGTGGAGGGAGCTGTGATGTTGATGGAAGCTTTGGTTCAGGATTTAGGTGGTGCCCGAGGTGTGATTTCGTGTCTATTACTTCTACTTTCCACAGTCTGTCACACCCGGCCTGTGTATATGAATGGCCGCTGTGTCTCAAGCTAGTTCTTTTCAACCTGTTGCTCGCCAGTGGCTGCTACTTCAACTTACCTGCAGAGGGCTAGCCAAGCTGATTAACGAGAGCTGCTTTTCTCCTCCACCTTTTTGGAGTTTGACTATCACAGTATCTGTCAGGTCATGTACCGTGCGGTGGTATTCACTGATAGCTGTTGTGTTTGTGTGTGTCTAGCTATTTCAACCATAATTCTTGGGCCTCACTAGCAGAGATCAGGGTCACTAAAAGATTGCGATGAAGTACAGCGAGAAACAGAGCAATTTTAAATCTGCCCAACGCATCAAATTTACTAAAGATAATAGGTTGGCCTGCCTGTTAAGCTGTCTGTATTTTGCCTTTTATTCCACTATGCAGTGAGCAGTTATGAGTTAAAGAAGCTGACCATGCGTGTTCGCACACAGTCGGCCAAGACACGCAAAGCGGCACACTCCACGTCTGCGCCGACCACTCCTGGCAAAGAGTTCAAGCCCAGTACGCACAACTGCTTCGTCAACTACTGTGACACACACGTGGCAGAGTTCTTGCTGGAGCGAGGCGTAAGTCTGTGTCCCGGAACTCGGTAACAATGTTGGACATAACTGATGTGTAGTCATTGGCCTTGTTCCATACAACTGTGCAGTAGTACTGCTGGGTGAAATGATTGCATTCCGATGGCCGCAATGTCCCATGATTCAGCAGAAAGCAGAAATTTCTTCTGCAACATTGCAATATGACACGGGTTGGTTTAAAACTGTACCTTTTGCCATATTCATTTCAAACTACTCTACATCATGTGTCAGCGGTTCAGTTAGCACCTGAACAACGTAGATCAGCATTAGTCGTGCAGCCTATATTAGGTATGTTTGAGCAGTTATATTGTCGGCCTTAATAGCTGTGAGAAAGGGTTTGCTCCCCACACTGGAGCTCGTGTTATACCGCCGACTTGACCTGACATTAGACTGACTCACGATTCCCATCCAGAGCACACGAGAAGTCCATCGAACCTCCGACCTGCAGTGTGGGGAGCAAACCCTTTCTTACAGATCATCGCCGAAGTCGCAACCACTACTTCGTACTTTTAAAATATGTGTACTGACTACTGAGTGTGAATTTAATCTTACTCTGCGTGGTTGCAGGATTCTCCAGATCACAGGCCAGCCAAGGCAAGGGTCACTTCCCTGGGAATTGAAGGTAAGGTGTTCTCGTTGTTGGTGCAGCGAAATCCAGGAATGTCCAAATGAATGCCGCTTGATCAATGCAGCTGTGCAACTGGGAGCATTGTAGGTTATAACAACGTAAATCACGTTTTTGCTTTTTCATCTATACCGTACTCTCCTAAGAATTTTCACACTCCCTTATTCTACTCTTCGTGCCAGTTTGTCCATTGTATTTTCATTGTACAAATGAAAATCCGATGGAACAAAAAGTGATTAAATGGCTCTACTCGCGAGTTTCATGCTGAAAAGCAATCAGCAACTTCATTGTATCAGGGTGCCCTCATTGCGGCAGTGTTCTCTCTCTCTCATGACAAGTTAGTCGTAAGACAGACCATCTTGCTCTCTACCAGCTACTGCACTCCCTTGCTTTGCAGTTTTTAACACATATAATTCGTTCCATTGGAGACTCGCGAATATGACTGTTATGTACTTGTTGTTTGAATGAGCTTATCCACTGGCCATATTGTCACTGGGCAGTGAGCTCCTTCATTTACGCTCAGACTTGTCTTTGTGTACTGTTTTCCCTCCTGTGTTTAGAACCTCAGAGAGACCTGGAAATGCAACGGTGAGTGGTACTGGTGTGTTCGTACAGTTCCAGAACAGCTACGAACTTGAACCACTGATTCAGAATCCAGGAAAATTAAATGGGGAGAATTACATCTTATGTTTGAGTGGACTTTGGGATTTGTTGAATTATTATGCCGATTCTACGTATTTGGGTCACGAAAAATCTGCTTGTGTTGTTGACTATCCTCTAACCAATGATTGGAGGTTGTCAGTCTTTTCACTCGGTCTACCCAGGCTGTACATGTCACTGTGTAGTAGATAAAACACTACCCTCGGCTGGAATTATTTGTACATTAGACGGTGGTTTATACCTCTGGCAGTGGTATGGCATTTTCTGCTACGTCGGAATGGACGCACTGAGATGTCCTATTCGATGAGTCACGGACTCACTGACACTGACAGCACTCGGTTTAGTTCAATCAGTGTAGTCACAGTCACTGCAGCAAAGTCAATGCTGCCACATTGTTCTTGTGCACTGATTGGCCTGGCAATGTTTGAACTTTGATGTGTCCCTTCAATGTGCTCCTCCAGGGAAAAACTATTCACACCCAAGCAAGCCTGGGGAATTCACAAAAGGTACTTGAAAGAAGTAGTCTAGTATTAGGGAGGTTCCGGAGTACGATTTTTCGTGCCAAAATCCGTAGAGGCGCTACGGATTTTTTATACGTCGTTTTCGAGCAGTGAAATGTTCCGGAGTACGGAACTTATGTTATTATTATTATTACACAATCACGATGACATAGTGCCAATAAGCATGTGATGCGGGCGATTTTAACCAGCCATGGTGGGGACAACTGAGAAAAAGAAGGAGAAGAAAAAGAGAAAAGAAAAGAAAACAAAAGGAGTACTATAGGTACCTGGAGAGAGCAGTATGAAGATTAGGCTAGCAATGGAAAACAACGAATTCAATTCAATTCAACTTAGGCGCGGGCAGAATGGAACAAAATGCAGCGAAGGTGTCACGAGACTTTACCTCCTGCGGAAGCCGAGACCAATGAGAATAGGACTTGAACAGAGGGGATTTTAAAAGGATCGATGACCTGGCAAGTGGGAAATGGAGAGAACATCTAGTACGCGAGCTATTATTGAACCAGCTTAAATGCGCAAGTGCATGAGGAGGAGCAAGTTGAAGCTTAATACTGTGAATGAATTTGCATGCCGAGTGGGGAAAGCGTTCTGAGAGGGGGGAAGAGGAGGCCAAAATGTATAGCGTCTGAGAGGAGGTCAGAGGGGGCATGCGAAATATTAATCGAAGTAATTTACGGTGGGTGACTTCTAACCGATGCATAAGAGCGGAGGATAGACCGGAGGACCAAACGAGAGAGCAGTAATCAAACAAAGGAAGAACATAAGAGTGATAAATTTGTATTCGACAACCATGGTGTAGATGGGAGATGTGAGGAGAAATGCAGCCTATCGCGGAGCAAACTCGCTTTTCAATATAGGTTACGTGCGAATCCCAGGACAAGTGTTCATCAAGAAATATACCAAGGTGTTTGTGATTTTTAACAATGTTGATAGCAATGGGATCATCAGGGAAAGTAAAAAGCCGAGTCGTAAAGAGGGTGAGGTCACTGGAGGGTCGTGGGGGGATACAAAGGATTGCCGTTTTCGACACATTGGGGCGGAGTTTCCAATTCGACATCCAGCGCACAACTTGATTAATGTGATACTGTAGCGAGTCGCAGGCTTGCAATAAGCCTGGCTCGGTTATATGGAGCGCTGTATCGTCCGCGTAGAGTGAGGTATGATCCAAACCTGCCAAATCATTAACGTATACGATGAACAATAGAGGCCCCAAGATAGAGCCCTGGGGCACTCCAGAGTGGACTGTTAGAGGGGCGGACAGGGCATGTCCAATTCGGACACTCTGTCGACGTTCAGTGAGATAGCTGGTGAGCCACTGCAGACACGTCCCGGCTACGCCAAACGCTGCTAACTTATGGAGGAGGGGTGGCAAAACCCACACCGCCGCCGCCCTGCACAAGCCGACACCAACACTACCGGTAGTCCACTGAAACGCACTATCACAAGCCAGTGTTTGCCGTCATTGCCTAGGTTACGATCGCAAACACGTCATATTTCCGCGCTATGCCTTTTTTATTTTGAAAATTTGTACCGAAATCAAAACTTCCCGCGGAAAATCGATGTTTCTCGTACCAAATTTGTACGCGAAAAATCTTTCTGCACCCGATGACGCAAAATCTCCATACGAAACATGGTTCGTATGAAAGCCAGTCCACACGGATTCAACGTGCCGAAAAATCGTATGGAGCACTCCTGGAAAAATCCGTAGCGCCCATACGGATTTCGGCACGGAAAATCGTACCCCGGAACCTCTCTATTGTCTAGTAGTATACTTGCAATCTATATTGGCACTGTGCATGTTGCGGCTCTACATGCAGAAAAGGCAAGAAAAAGAAAAGAAAAAAGTGTGCTGTGACCAGGATTCGAACCTGGGTTACTACGGCCACAACGTAGGGTCCTAACCACTAGACGATCACAGCTTGCTATGCGAGAGCACACATGTGTTGCATCGAAGCAGCTTGCTATTCTCGACAGCACTTCACACAGGATCATGGCAGCGAGCCGTTAGTGTTGTTTGTGTGCGTGTGTGCGTGTGTGTGTGTGTGTGTGTGTGCGTGCGTGCGTGCGTGCGTGCGTGCGTGCGTGCGTGCGTGTGTGTGTGTGTGTGCGTATGGTGCAGTGGTATGTGCAGTCGATTTCCAATCGAGAGGTTGCGGGTTCAATTCCCGACGATTATGGTCGCACACGTCTTTCTTCTCTTTCTCGGTCTCTTCCTGACTTTTCTTTCATTCTCCTGGGTGGTTACCAACAGCCAGTGTATGCCGGAGTATGTGGTGTGGTGTGTGTGTAGAAAAAAAAGAAAAAAAAAGAAGAAAAAATGGAAAAATGAAAATAGGGATTCACTGGCCAGAAAAAGTCACTTCAATCAGCTGTGTGGTGGATACCAGGCTAAAAATAGTGGCGGTCAATTCATCAGCCTTGCAAGCTGTTGAATGGTGTAATCCCAGCACAAGTTGCTATGTCTAACATAGCTGTTCGCTATCATCGCTTCCGCGATGGGCAGGTCTGAGGTCTGAGGTGTGTGTGCGTGCGTGCGTGTGTACCTCCAAGTTTGTAGTATTCGAGTTCATCCTGAGCTTTATAATCTAGTGTTTACAAGTAGTGTACTTTTCATTGGTGACTCGTTTGGTAAACCGTGATAATTTCTTTTTTCTTATTCTGCTTGATGCTAATCCTTGTGTAGGTCTGGACCCTCGTACCCAGAGCCCGGGCATCGACGGCTGCCAGTGCCGCCAGTTCAACAGATCTCTCCACCATCAGCAGCAGCAGCAGCAGCAGCAGCGACGGCATCACACAAGCAACCATCACCCAGGACTACCACCTCTGTCACCACGACTGACGGCGGCAGCGGTGGCGGTGGTGGTGGACTGGTCACGCCAAGCAAGCCGGCCGGTGGCAAGTCAAGACGACTACCTCCGCTATCAACACCAACCACCGGTATGCAGGGTAGTACACCAGGTCCGAGTCCAAGTAATCGGATAGACAGCAATCGTCTCATGCCAAGGCTGGACCTGACTGGCAAGCATATGCGTCCCAAGAGCGACAAGTACTCCATTGAGTCGTTCACTGCAGCCGACATCCCAGAGTTCAGGTAATGGCTAGGAGTAGTGCCATATCTATATAGTGTGAACTGTGATCATACACACACATACACACACACCAACTAAAATGCCTTGCATGTGTACAGCCTCTGTACTGTAGTGATACTAGAATTCCACGTGCATGCACTTGTAATACGTACACACGGTGACAAAATCTAACCTGAATGGCTGGACTGGGATAGGTGTGCATGCCTGCTATTAGATCCACGATGCACTTGTTCTCCGGCAAACTGTTTTGACAATGGAAAAAAATGGGTCACGGGGTAACTTTTTCCCATGCCCGCCCCCCTACTATATTGACCTGGCTAGAACCCTGCATAGGCAATGTGTATTATTGCTCACAGAATATATTATTCTTCCTCCTGCACACATTGTTATTGTACCCTCTATAGGAAAGACATGAAGGAGCTGATAGAGAAGCGACGAAAGGAGCGTGAGCCGGTGGAGTATCGCAATGCGGTCGTCGACTGGCAGCGCCTGGAGCTGGACTCTATGAAACCAGAGGACCGCGAGTACTGCAAGTCTGCGGCCATGACCTACTACAGCTCTACGCCCGGCGGTGCCAAGGCATCCAAGTACATGTCACAAGCCATATGATCACGACAACGCCAACCACTCGTGCACTCAACTCGTATGTGCGCCACTCGTGTGAGCAACACTCGTCGCATCTGTGCCACTCGTCCAAGTGCCACTCATGTATATACGACCATTATGGTTACATGATGACATTGTGTATTCCACATGTGTGTCAATTGAACTGCCATTATTATGTTCAGCATGCTGCTGCTCTCTCTCTCCTCTTTCTTTCTCTCTGGTGCCCGGGAGCTTCAACTATCAAACCATCCGGACCCATTGGGTCGACTTTGACTGTGGTCGGATAAGCGCAAATTATACCATCCCAAGCATGGCCATGTCGGACAACACAACACTTGAAACGCCAAATTCAGACCCTTTATATTTTTAAGATTTGCTTTATTTTCCTCAAAGTGAAATAGGACCTCACTACTTCAAAGTACTTTCAAAATAATTTCTATAAAATTTTGAGAATAAGCAATATTTTAAAATAGACATTATCTGTACAAAATTCAATTTCTACCTTGCAATTAAACCTGTACATATTGCGATCACCTGTTGTTGCATCACCACCGTTTGTTCAAATTTCATTGAATATATCCTTCTTTCTTATCAAGTAGAACTACAGAACAGTACACGAAGGAATGTATAAACTTGTGCAATCTCGTTTTGAAAACACGCTCAACATAAGGGGGAGAAGGGAAAGAAAATAACCTAAAATGTTCTTTCCGTACACGGGCACATGTTATACTGTCATAGGTTCCTTGATGATGTTAGGGTCGAGAGTGGACACGAGTGCTAACAGCATGTTGTGCACTGTGTGAAGAACTGCATGGCATGATGAGAATGACACCTCCTGTACATTGGACACATACGTACGCACACATACATGCACACACACACACACACACACACACACACACACAGGCACACGCATACACACACATACACGCACACACACACACGCACAAGATCACTGAGCCTCGTAAAGCGGACAGCAAAATGTCAAGGACGTGCCAGAGTATTCGAAGAGTATTCGAAGCATTGCTTTCTTTGGGTAAAGCGCCGGAGCATGCCTCTAGTGTGTAGATAACAAAATGACTGTATTGTCTGCCCAAAAGGCATACCGTATTGTCCGGAGTATAAGCCGCACTTTGAACACCCAAAGTTCACCCCGAAAAGGGGAGGGTGTGGCTTACTCTGATGATCAAATTAACGGTAATCAATAGGAGAGATGTCTGTATTTCGTGGCAAAAAAATGGGGGGGGGGTGCGGCTTACACTCCAGTGCGGCTTATAATCCGGAAAATACGGTACGTGTGATATTTAATTTCACACATACAATACCACACTTACATAGTCCGTTGCCTCCTCAGCCGCACCGGTATTTGCCGCCGCATCGGAAAAGGAAAAGACCACCGAGTTGTCATCACACGACGTGGCTGACAGCTGAGAGAATGGCTTCCTCCATATCACCGTCTGCACGCACAAACAGCAACAGAAGGCGGAGAACTCATTGCAGCGAAGAAATGAACCCAAGGAAAGAAGAAAGCAAGACCAAATCTCGACTACTGAGCACATTTCCAGTGCGACCAAATCATCCAATGTACCCTACCGCACACTGTCCGAATATTCACCCTCTATCTGAAAACCGATCTGAAAACAGACAGTATCCAATTTCAACAGCAATCCCGAGAATCTTACTGCATGCGACAGTGTGGGCATTGTGGTAACATCGAATACAATTCTGATGCATGCTACGAGAATCGAAACGGGCCCCAAAGAAGATCGCCCGATGCACACTTTGTGCGCATCTGGACAAAGTGACAACCACTTCGCAGCACTGCTTTGGATTAATTCTGCGTCGCTGAGACAATATAATTTCCCATCTTCCTGTTCCATCCCACGTCATCATCTAGCCTGAAATCCCTGCGAAGGTGTAACTAGTTACTAGCAATGTACTGCATCAGTGAATTACCTTGTCAAATCCATCAGCCAGAGTTAATTGATTTTGAAGGCTGACTGAGAGCTCCACGCTGCTTTGCCGATACGTCCCAGTAAACATACAGCTCTCGTCCAACGCCTGGTTGACCGTGGCCTGCCAGATGCGCTGGAACCATGTGGCAAGCTCAGCGCGACTCTCTGCGGAAAGGAAAAGAGACGCGAGAAATGCAATGCAGGGTTCTAGCCAGGTAAAAATAGTAGAGGAGCGGACAGGAGAAACAGTTACCCCACAACCCATTTTTTCCATTTTCCAAATTGTCTTGCCATGCAAACTTGAACGTACGGGCGCAAACCTCCGACTTCACCCCAGACAAGTGTGCCTTTATGAACCCTCTGCTTGTGACTATCGACTGCATTTTCATTGAATTGCCTGAAAAAAAATCGACAAACGAGTAGGAGGGGCACATTTTCACAGGAGGGCGCTCAATCAGAGTGGGAGGGGGGAGGGGGGAGGGGGGGGGAGCTGCGCCCCCTACCCTCATTTAGCTAGATCCATGTAATGCATACAGTGCAACGAGTGTCAGGTGACATGGATAACGTTATAGCCGGGAGTGCATATGAAGTAATTCCCGGTTTTCTAGATTCTACACGACCGACTGACATCATCCCACAGTAGCAAAGCACTGCAGCGTACCTGATGCCATGTATAGACTTTGTCCGTCGGCTGCTGTCAGCGTGAAACAATGTGGCCAGCTGTCCTGTTGCCTGTCCGTCTGAACACACAACAAAGAACGCGGGGGGGGGGGGGGAGGGAGGACACACAGACACATACTTTAAAAGAACATGGAGCAAGATATTAGTATGGAGCACGGAGTTTGATGACAGGATTATGTGTTGGAGGAATTCCACCATATTATGTGTTGGAGGAATTCCACCATATTATGGGCATTGAAAAGTGTACATGGAGATTGGTCTGCTCTGTAGGACAATATGAAACACCTTAAAAATGAGTACTGTCCATCTCTGTCGCATGTGGGACACACTAGCCGCACTCTGCACTGAACACACTGGAAGCGCTGACCTCTCGTTAATGTTTACCGAGTATGCCACAGCAGGCATTCATGCACACCAGATATCCGCTCATCAATCGGTTCCGGCATCGACGTGGAGTAAGCTCAAACATGGTGCATACTAACCTGTACTTCATTGCAGTGCGTGGAGAGGAGAGGAAACGAAGAGACGGGTCTGCTTAGCTGCTCACTGCTCATCTGATCAGCCAATGGACACACACGGAAACACAGACACACATGCAGGTACAGACGCAGATACAGACAAAGACACAGTTAAACTTTACTACAATGCACACTGTACTTCCATTCGCCACAAAATCTAAGTTTGTAGCCGCGGTACTGTTTATCCAAGGTGTTGTCAGAGCAGGCAATATCTGCACGGCAGCACGTGAATCAGTGAATGTGTCGGGGTAGGGTAAAAGCAGGTCCCAGACACGTCCGAATAGAATCCGGATCAGACGGGACCCGCATGCTTATCCATCGGATATCCTTTTGATTGAGAAGCACTGTATAATTGTGTACCAGTATTGCAGCTACCGGTACCAGCAGCTATGGTGAGCAGTACATCGCCTTTTCTCTTCTCCGTACTCTTTTCTCTATATAGAATGCCCTAGAATTATGTAAACACATGATGTGTCCCAGAGCCCAGTGTGTGCTGATGAGTCCCACTCAACGACCTTACCGGTGGAGATTCATACAACAGAAGACGTTTAGACGTCAGAAGCATAAAGTGGTGTACGTAGTTCTTCCATTGTTCCGTGGAGGTCTGTCGTTCAGCGACCCAGCCAAAGTGGATTATCTATGGACACGAAAGAGAGCACAAGATACAGGAGTGTTTGGCATTCAGAAGTTCTGATAATGTGCTAGTATCCATGTACAGAGCACAGCCCCTGCAGTACTGGTCTGAACCACGGAGTAGTAAAATACTGTCATTTTGCTACTCCCTGGCCTGAACAGTACAGTACACGGGCATGGCACTGGCAGCATTTCACACTCTTCATTCCTTTCTTGGCACTCCAGCCGAGAGCAAGTTGACCTGCCAGGAAGTTCTACAGATGTCTAGTGAGAGGCGGGTGCACTCACCTTATCGGACTCTGCAAGCGACGCGTTCATCTCCACAATCTGTATACACACGAAACCATACCATTGTTATTTTATGCACGTGCATAATTATACAGAGTGAGTATCCTGAAGCTTATGAAGGTATGTTATTCCAACACTACAGTGAAACCTGGTGTAAGCAACCTCCAGTTTTAGCGGCAACCTGCTTTTAACGACCGTTTTTTCCCTGCGCGGACAGTTTTAAACAAAAACTTTACCGGATACAGCGACCACCTGACATGCGCGACCAGCGACCGACTTTCAGTGTACCAAGTGCTATATCGGACCTGCGCACAGCGACCAAAACTAGCCAAATGTGCCGTCTTGGCTGGCAGAGTTGACTGCAACAGGGTTGAAGAGTGCTCTAAAGCAAGTGAATGCAGTCAACAGAAGTGACAAGTGATAGTGTAGGATGCGCTGCATGCACTTGAGGGAGGTGTGCTTTGCCTGCACGAAAGTATTTTATGCTCCACACCTGTAAATATGAGTACATCTGTACTCTAATTTCAGAAATTTTCGGTGGTCAATATTTTCGGTATGAGGGCAACAGGCTAGGTTAGGTCAACAGTAATTTTCGGTACAGAGAAGCAGTTCCCTATTGGATTATGACATACATTGTGTTTTAGTGTATATTTGGTGTATTGGAATTTTAGGTACGAAACAGACGCACCGAAAGTACCGAAAATAAAAGTACACCGAAAATTTGTGAAATTACAGTACATGGAAGTACAATCATGCACATGTACATGTCTGGTATGTACACGATCCGATATGCCACGACTGTGTGAGACCTAGTTCTAAAGACCACCTGGCTGTAACACTGTATGTGGAGTCATACTTTGACTACTTGGTTTGTCCATGAAGCCAGCATTCATTCAGGAATAAACACTGGTTGATACTATTAAAGTTACCAATCACATACAGGTCTGAGGGAACTGACTGAATGTCGGGCACCGACTACATACAGGGCACTGACTACATACAGTGAACTGACTACATACAGCGAACTGACTTCATACAGGGCACTGACTACTGACAAGTAACTGATCTCGTACACGATACTAACTGCCTATGGCCCTATGGGCAACTAGATACACAGTCGAAATACAGTCTACACTATGGTTTATTGAGTGCAGGTACACGCAACTGCGAAGCGTCTGAAAGCACAAAGACCATACAGTAGCCGATTACATAACTGTGCACAGTCTGCTGACTGCCTACAGTCTGTGGACTGCCTACAGCGAGCTAACTGCATACAGTCTGCTGACTGTATACTGTCTGTGGACTGCATATGGTGAGCTGACTACATACGGTGAGCTGACTGGATACTGGATGCATCATATTTCGAAGTAATCCTAAGAAATCCTTACCAGTGCCTGATCCAGTGCCTCAATCTTGGTTCTTAGCAAGGAACACCATTGTGCTAGTTCACTCTCCTCGGTGCAATAGAACACTGGACTTAAGTCATGACTTGCAGTCACAATGTGAAACGAGTTTGGCCTGAAGAGACACACAGAATCACTCTTGCATTAACTCAACCTTGTACTGAACACCTTTGCCGTGGTAGGTTTCCTGTTTCAACAATCAATGTACCGTAATGTATGCAATGCTGGCAACGTGAGCACATTGAAATTGAAAGGGTGAGTGTGTGTGTGTGTGTGTGTGTGTGTGTGTGTGTGTGTGGTGCGCGTGGACACAGTTGTCTTGAATGGTTCGGTTATGCTTCTGCATGGGCGACATCCAACTGTCAAAGCGGATAATGTCCTGCACCCTGCCTTCTTGTCGCCCGGCTTGGGCCTGTGCCTGGGCGGAGTGACTACTCAGTACGCCGTCACGTATCTCCACACCGGCGATGTCGGATTGGACTGGTATAGAGTAGCTGGTGATTCTCGCTCTGACTGCCTGCTGGGGTACATGTACACATTAGTACCATCTCTGAAACTCCGATGTCGGCGCTGGTGCCTGTTGTACGATGTATATGCTCTCGTTGCTGAAACTCCGATGTCGGCGCTGGTGCCTGTTGTACGATGTATATGCTCTCGTTGCTGAAACTCCGATGTCGGCGCTGGTGCCTGTTGTACGATGTATATGCTCTCGTTGCTGAAACTCCGATGTCGGCGCTGGTGCCTGTTGTACGATGTATATGCTCTCGTTGCTGAAACTCCGATGTCGGCGCTGGTGCCTGTTGTAAGATGTATATGCTCTCGTTGCTGAAACTCCGATGCCGGCGCTGGTGCCTGTTGTACGATGTATATGCTCTCGTCGCTTGCGACGTCACTGTCATCTTGTGAGACACAAATGCATAGCTGAGCAAAAGAAACCAGTCCCACAGCAGAAAGGTGACTGCCAATGTACTCGTTGTGACCTGTGGTTCAGGACTCAGGAGTCGCGGAGGTTTAGCCGTCCATTGCTGTCCTGCCCCCGGGTTGTCATCCGCTGTTCGATCTACATGCTGCCGCCATCACTATCGCCACCGCCCGGGAGTGCTGCAATGCACATTGCAACCTGCTGTGCAGCCACTGCTTTCGATCCACTCAAGGCCGCAATAACACCGTTGCTCCAGGGCCTGTCATCATCCCACAGCAGCAGAGCGTAGTGACTTCCCGCACACCTGAGATCGCCTGCGGTGATTCTGACTGATTCCGCGCCTGAGCCACCATCAGTCGGCGTGCTCCTTTTCTCCCTCTGCTGGGGGGGGGGGGGGGGGAAGAGGAGGTATACATGCGTGGATGTGTGTATGCATGGGTGTATATTTGTGTATGTGTATGTACGCGTGTGTTTAACGTCCATGCATGTTAAAAAGTAAGACTCTACATACATGTACATGTATATGTGCTTGTGCATGCACACATGTGTGAACGAGGGAATGAGAAAGTGAGTGAGTGAATGAGGGAGGTACGCGTAGATCGAGGCACGGAAAGATTCACGAAAAAATAATATAAACAATACAACGATATAGAGCAAAGACTCAGAGTAGCGGGATACAGACAACGATGGAGACCTTACTGCAGCTTGCCAGTTCCGACCATGCGGCGTGATACGCATGACCGCTGCAGCGGGATGGTCCGAAAGGTGCTCCATTGCTGTACGTCACGTTCTGCTGTAGCCGGGCTGAAGGTGGACTCCTCAATCACGGTACTTCTTAGCGGTCTTGAGCCCTGGGTTAAAATATAAAACGGGAAGCAAATAAATGTTGATGGGATTTACACCATACGCACCAATGCACTGGCCTAAAGGGCATGCCAATGCACTGGCCTAAAGGGCATGGGTTAGCCTGTGAGGGCAGTATTAGTTACTGAAACTTGGTATACGTATCATTGATAAATATGGTGGTAAAGACACACATACTTATCATGGTAACAAAATCCAAGTGCTGGGCATGCACATGAGCAAACTGCTAGGGGAAATGAGCTAAAGCACATTGCCACTTCATATACTTCAATTATAATAATCATGATCCAGTCAGACAAGGAAACTACTAGTGCTTGAAAGTAGCCAGGCCCAGTACGGTACCCCATATGGTAGCATCTTATGTCAAGCCAGGAAGGCCACTTAGCTGCGTAGCACTACTGAAAGTCCTTGCACCAGCACACAGGTACTCTGATGGAATGAGGAAACTCAGCTTGTGCCGCTGATCCCTTTATTTCACATTGCAGTGTGACTAATGTCACTTCACTGGCGGCCCGGTGTGAGTCACAATGCAGTGTGACTGGTATCACATGCATGTCACGGGGAGTCGTGTCACATTCCTCTGCAGTGTGGAGGTGTGACCCACTCCAGCAAGCAACTGTGAACTCAAATAATTAGTTAGTGCTAAGTACCACAATGTCATGTCAACTCACATGCAAGCACACGCACACATACACACACGCACAGGCCCCACCACCACACTCCATTACTCACACCAGTGTCTGGAGATACAATCATGTATGTGGACTTCGTGGACAAAAAACACACACACACAATTAGCACTGTGAGCGCATCGCACGCGTGCTCTCGCATAGCAAGCTGTGATCCTCTAGTGGTTAGGACCCTGCGTTGTGGTCGCAGTAACCCAGGTTCGAATCCTGGGGGGTGGCATAGCACACTATTTTTCTTCACTTTTTCATTTCAAGTTGATGATGAGTACAGAATGGCTCCCACGCAGTGGTTGCCAGCTATTCTGGATTATATGAAGAACGTGATGTCGAACATATCAATAGCTGTCAAGAGTTAGAAAACTAGGCAAAACACATTGAAATGGAAACAGAGCACTCTGAAATATAATGCCGTGTTCTTACAGTGGCTCCTCTGCTTGTGCGGAAGCTGCCTCCACCGTGAAGCGAGGGGTTGCTGATACTGCTGATTGAGCCACGTGACACTAGGAACAGTTTCAAACACCACAAAACAGAAGATATAGGGTCATTGGACACTATTTTGCCTTCATCACCTCTTGGGCTTGGGTGCACTGTTAGAGAACAAGCACTAGACTGAACTACACAAGGGCTTGCT